AAAAAAAAAAAAGGGAACAATTTGAATCATATTTCCGACAAAGAAGAGTCAGAATGGCTGGCAAATGTACATCCAAGTTTATTACATGAATCGAACGAAGAAAAACAGCTAGACGACCTGGAAATTTCTTCATTTATTGAAGGAAAAAAAAAAACAGCAACACGACAACGCGCGAATCCCGTTCCGCTTTGCATACTTCTGTCACGCACTCCCCGTAAATAAATATCCGCGAAATTCGCCCTTACTGAAATAACAGTTTGGCGTGTTGGATAATAAATAACTTATTAGACGTTTTTTTTGTGTAGTATCGCTGAGTATTTTTACTCGTTATTTGTATTTTGACTCGCCCGGAATATGGCAGAACTCGTAAAAATACTCAGCGATACTACACAACAAAACGTCTAATAAGATATATCTATTGATCATGGGAAAAAAACATCCTACAGGGAATGAAGGAATGAAATGGTGGCTGTACTCTCGTTTTAGTTTAAAGCCAGAAGGGGACCTGCCGCCGTATTTCCATGAATAAACTCCCACGCTCAAGCTAGTGCCCACCTCCCTCCTCGAATAAGCTACAGTGGAATCATTACAGGTTACAGGAGAATAGTTTCTTTTCCGTTCCAGCTATTTCTGGCTTCATGCGTTTGCAGAGTTCCTTTATGGTTAAATTTTCTTTTGATTGTGTCTTATTGCTGCGTTAACCTAATAAACGCCCCCTCGATTAAACCGAAAGTTTGAATAAAAGTCAGGGCTCTAATTCGAGAAAATATTGTACGGTATATCAGTGCTTTTATTAAGTATTACTGCTCTAAAGAGAAAACGAAGAGAGAGAGGTTTAACATTTGAAAGCTGAACAAGAACATCAAAATAAGCAATTATAATCACGTACCAAGATGACTGGACATAATTCCATTTCCTATCCTCCTCCCCAATGGGTGCTGTAGACGATTATTGACTTGAAATTTCGCAACATACGAGGAAGGAAATAAAACTAGTCATTTACAAACGACGAGCGTGTTTTGTGTTTTATTATTTTACTTTCAATTGCCCTCGAAGACATCGCAATTAACTGATACTGTTTATAATCTACAAAAATTTTCAATTTTTCACGCAAAGTGGACTTCAATGAGTTTTTTTTCTTTTTTAGAGATCAATACACGTTTTTATATGGCTTTCAGATGACAGAAAAGCTCGTAACCTCTGTATTTAGCGACTTAATCTTCGACTGACAGGTAATTGTTATGTTTATTATCATGGGCACTGTATTTAAGCTTTCACTTGATTGCTACGCTACTATCTCGTCGTATAATAGGGACGGCGATGGTCACAGCATATGACGAGATTGAACTTGTATTTCACTCGCTTTTCGTGTAGTTCTCAAAACAGTGCTACAGACAAAAGGCAAAATAAATTGTACACAGCAAATAGAGGAGTTTAGGGCTTCAACATTCGAAAGAAGAGGCAAGAAATTCAAATTCTGTCGTGCCTAATCTCTTCTCTCTACTGAAGCTCCCTTCATTCTGAAAGGGAATAGATAGACTACCAGCAGCTTATTTGCGCACTTTCAATTTAAAACGCTTTAAAGATATAAGACCCAGAATGCAACGCGAAAGACGACGTTTTGCGTCTCGAGTAGCTTTGTTACTAATCCGCGCGAGAACTGACGTCACAAAGCTCGTATGAGGTTATTGTAGCGAGTTGGGACGAGGTAAAATACTCCAAACGACAACAGCAACGATTGGTTTAAAAAAGGCGCTGAAAGCGCTTGAAATCCTTGAAAAGCCAGAAGCCATACTTAACCGGAGACTTCAGTGTAACCCATATTATCCGTTTAAAATGGTTGAAGGAAACAGTAAGTGAAATTATCGTTTATCCTTCTGAAAGTGCGAGTGTAAGAATGTAAGCTGGCTTAAATAGGGCTGAAAATATCTCTCCGGCAGAACTATAGATTAAGCTTAG